ACTACTACTTAATTATTTATTGTAATTTAACCATTACTCAGAAATACCGATAAGAAAATAAAAATAAATCTTTTTTTCTTTCTCTTTGCAGTGACGGCTATGGGTCGTCTCACGGACAGCAACTGCCACGAGAACTTCGACTGCGAGCAGTACGGGATGGCGTTCTGCGAGTCCAAGACCAGCATGTGCCAATGCCGCGTTGACGCGCACCTCCGCGGTGGCCGCTGCTGGGAGTCGCGAAGTGAGTGCTACGCGCCACGCCTCGGGCGCTCGTTCTCCGGTCATTGCGTATTTCGGGGGCACGTCAACCGATATGATCGTTAGTCCCGTAAGTGTAGGGAACGTTACATGCCGAGAGGTGGTGGAGTTCTTTCCCCGCTAGTTGGGTTTTCGGGGTATTCTCCCCTCAATTTCGCACGCGGCGATGGTAAATGCGCGCGGCGATGGTGTAACGGTTAGAGTACCGGACTGTTGTACCCAAGTTGGCAGGTTCAAACCCGATCAAAGCCGTGGATTATTAAGGGCGAAAAATTTTTCGTACGCCTTCCTTCGGAGGGGAAGTAAAGTTGGCTGTCCCATGTTAGTAGATTTACTTGCACGTAAAAGATCCTCAAGCCTAAATGACGCCTCTGAGATTCATTCAAATAGCCTGTTTTACCTCGTTTCTCGTCTAGTTGGTGAAAGGAGCGTAGCGACATTTGCGTGGTCAGACGGAAGAGCAGGCCTCATGGCCTGAGTCTCGCCAGTAAAATAAGGCATTAACTCAATTCAAAATTCAATTCAATTCTATTTCCGCCACCAGGGCATCATCCCGGCCTGGAATCTGGAAGCTATAATCTCCCGATATGTTTGGAAGTCTGTTTCACGTTAGTGTATGTAACGGAAGAGAAAGGGCAAGGATGTGGAAGGAAAGATTGCGCGCGGTCCTTGGCCCGTCTGTTATTACTGCTTCGACGTTCTCTTGATAATGATGAAATCATGGAAAGGAACCGAACAGAACAACCCACTGCTATAATACTCCCCGAGACAGCGACTGAATGCGACCTAACTATCAAGCTGGTGGCGAAATTCCACCAATGTCAGGGCTCGAAGCCTACAACCTCTCTTGGTCAAAGACTCTGCCATTCCAACAGCTGTTGCCCTGAGCTATTCGGTCGAGGGTAGGAGATGCATTTACATCATCTTTGATTTACAATTCTTTTTAATTATGTATTATACGTGCTTTGATTCGTCCTGCTCGATCATGAAGCTCTAATGAATGTATCGTATGATCGCGTAGCACAAATTAGTTGCTTCGATGATAATTTAGGTCCTTTGTGAACACTGTTGGGGAGAAATATTGAAGTACATGCTCTTTTAGCATTGCTGACAACTTGATTTAGATTCATTTCTTCAGTCAAAAAAATGTATGTGACGTATAGAGGAGAAGATCATTTGCCCACGTTTTCTTGAGTTCCAGAATCCCTTCACATTTGACCGTAAATAGTAGAAAGGTGAGTAAAAGTTAAAAATAAACAAATAAAAATTAAATTTAAAAAAGCGAGAGATAAGCAACATTTGTAGACACTAAACATTTTCGTTCCCGAGTATAGAAAACTTATTTGAACCGATAAACGAACCCCAGATTTGATTTTTCTGCATTGCTAACGAAATAGTAACTTATCCCCAATTCTACTTCTGTCACTACAAGCAAAAGGAGAGCTCAACGAAACGTGCGCATAGTGAAGTTATATTTATGTCCAGGAGCAAAATAAGGGGCTATCTCAGCATTTGCTCTATGGATCAGGGAAACTGAACAAAACCAGATCGAGATGGGGTCATTGACTACATACAGTATATTCCTGCAACAATCGAACAGTGATGAATTCACGGACCGCATGAGCATATGAACATCCAAATTCTTGTTAAAAAAGATGTTAAATTAGAATTAGGTTGTTACAGTGAACGTTAACCTTGCCAGATGACATTAAACTATTAAATTCTATACAAAAGTTTAAATTCCAAGTAAAATCGTTTCTGCTGCACAACTGTTTCTATAAGTAGAGACTATACCAAGCATCCAAAAGGAAAGAAAGATTAATTTTAACAACGACATTTAGTGTATTATTTACCATTTGGATTGTGTAATTACAAAGAACTTGTAACGAGTATTGAACTTCAGCTTCTGGGTCAATAACCCTCATCTCGATCAGGTTTTTGCCCAGTTTCTGAGATCCTTGAGCAAATGCTGAGATGGCCCCTTGTTTTGCTTCTGGACATAAATGTAACTTCAAATTAACTTCTCCCCATAGCACGTCACACACACAGGTTTTAACAGTTTTGGGGGTAAATAAATAAATAAATTGAGAATGAAAGAAAATGGAACGCTTTGGACGACTGCGTCTTATCGAAATCACCGTCAAATATGGGAAATTATTTAATGTTATTTTATTAAGGAACAAGATCGTACGCTTTCCTTCAGGTGATTGTCCGACCCTCCTCAGAAACCTAGATTTTTCTTAGCCATTTCGTAAGTTCTACGATTTCTGGGGAAATTACAAACAACTGCTAAATAATGTATTGTCGATGATTGCATATAATCTCTTCGTAACGAAGTTTGATGATAGCCAGTAAAAAATGAACATTGCATGTGAAGCAACATTCAGGTACTTTGACAAGTGTCAAAAATGGCAAGGCTAATTAATGGTTTATGATTGATAAATTATCAACTATTTAACTTCATGTTGAGATATAATTTATTTCATTAAAATTGATTTGCCAATACAAAAGTTAAATACGTATTTATTTATTACATTAAACAGATTGTTTTTATCGATATACCTAATCTTCGCCGATATAAATGTACTAAAAGAAACAACGATATACATGATGAATGATTCCTACTGATGCGAACTTCCCAATTATTATAATTTCTTAAATCATCAACATTTAAAAGTCTTCAGTTATCTACTATGATATAAAACGTTATGCGAAAAATATTTACGTTTAATCCTGGATACACAATTAACAATTTAATCTGCTTACTATTATTCAAAATGAAATGAATATGCTGAAAAGGCAAGGGTATTGTAATAGGTTTTGTCCTTAAGGGTTAGATGAAATTTACTCAAAAGGATTCATTCAGAAAAATGTTGTTTGGGTATCAATAATTTAATTCCTGGAGGTTTTTTCGATTGCGTAGCGAACATCATCAAAGTTCATTTTGTAGCATCTGGCAGATTTTCGATCTCCGCCCAGAGATTCGTTCGGGGTCGCTCGGTTTCGTTTGGGCGGAGAACGAACTTCTGCCGGATGTTCGTTCTCCATCAAGACGCTGCAAGATTCGTTCTGACGATGATCGCCGCGCGATCGACAAGATATTAAGGAATAAGTTATTGGTACCCAGTCAACCTCTTTTTTTCGAATTTATTACAAAGTATCAACATCACACGATATTTTATTAATAAACGAGAAGAATGGGAGTCCTTATCTAAGAGAAGGGAACGGGCGCGTTTATGCGCAATGTATAAGACATACAGAGGGGACACAGCATGGGCAGATATCGGTAAAAGATTACAGAAGTCA